AGTGCTGTTCTACGACATGAAGACAGTTGTTTTAACGAAGGAATATTATTGAGGGTTTAACTGAACAAAGCAACATTGGCTTCGAGGATTAAATGGCAGGACCATGTAAGGGGTGATTCCATTCTTTTCAGGTCGACGGTGACCTCAATATATGTGGAGACTGGAAAGAAAGATTGACACTGTACGACAAGAAAGTTGGCATAGTTCATTTACTCCAACCTATGAGGTTCTTGCGTGGGAGCCGAACTGTGGCAGATGTCGACCAGGAGGCCAGCATGAAGCAGCAGTAAGATGAAGGCAGATCCAATTTCGGAGAGAAATGTATAGTTGTACCATGCAATAATCGGTGCTTTATGGCAAGTGTTGAAAAGTTATAAATGCAGGGGACATCGCAATTCACAGATGGCTCAAAGTGATGATCTCAACAAATACAAACAACGTGATGAATAATGTACATGCGCAAGTCCGGCTGTTGAAGAATGTGACCTATAGATTGAATCTAAATAGAGGAAAATGGGGACACCCGTCTTTATGAACGCTCAGATATGCAATTGCCATGTAATGGAACTCTTATTTAAACATAATGTCATTTCTTAATACCAACAGTGCTCCTGCTTAATAGCAATAACGTTCGGCTTCATTCGAGATGGAACCAACGTTATAGTTACCAAACGTTCGTGAGACCTTAACGTATTAAATAATCATCGCTTCAATGGGTTGAGGGAGATATGCAAAAGGATGTACGATGCCAACATGCTAAAGTCAGAATAAGTTTCAAACGAACAGTACGGTCAGTTCCGATGACCGCGTTTCTTTTCACGTCGCGGGGGCAGAAATATCAAACTGTGCTTCCAGTGTTCACCATCCTCTGCCAGTGTTTCAAATCCGGTAGATGACCCAATATTTACCAGGGTCCTTCACTACAACTGTCCCAAGTTATTCTTGGCCGTCCCCAGGATCTCGGGCCGGTTGGTTGGGTAGGCAGTGACAGTTTCTCTTTCTGAATGCATTCGCATGACGTGCCCCAACCAGCTACATTCGCAGCTGTGACTTCTCAATCTATAGCAGCAGCGGCTGTCCATTTAAGTTCGCTCGAATACCCGTAGTGAGGACAGTGTCGCGACTGGTCAGACCAGCGATTCGTCCCAGAAAGCCCATTTTTTACCCGTTGAACTCGGGGTCAAAATGTTTCGGTAACAGCGTTGGGACGATGATCGAATTTATCACAAAGATCTTGGTATTCAGACTCAGTTTTGTTTAGTTTCAGCGGTTCTGGTCACTTTACTTGGACAGCCGGTGGCCTTTCAAATTCGTACGTCGATCCCTTCGTCCCATTTTTTATATATAGCGAAAACGAACACTGAGTACGTGAGCTTCTTCGCTTGTTCCAATGCATCTCCGTCTATCTTCAGGGCGAAACTGGTTGGAGAACGAGAAAGCACTAGGCTTTTCGTTTTAGACACGTATAAGCGGATGTCCACCATCTGGCACTCGGATTCCAACCTTCCCAGAGAGCACTGTAGGTGGGTTTCAAAAGACGCTAACGAAGCAAAGTCATCTCCAAACTGCAACATTCTCGTTTCCCTGGCGGCGGATAACCGTAGTATTCATGTACAAAATAAACAGGCATGAAAGGGACTGAGAACAATCCTGAAAGTTTTCGACTCAACGCCATTTACTCTCACCTCAGCACCTGCTCTCAACGTATAGTTGCTGAACCACTTGCCATAAATGGCCATTAACCTCACATGATTGCCATGGCTTGTTGCGCGTGTTCCGGGAATGAGCTTTCTCAAGGTCAGCTAAGCAAGTGGAAACCGGAGAAGAGAACCCCCAGGATTTCTCAACAACCTAACGTAAGTCGCAGATCTGGTCAGAGGTGCTTAGTCGTGACCTGAAGCCCACTGCTCTTCTTGTATCTTAGGGTGCGTTATTCCGCAACACTTATATTCTAACGTTTTCAGTTAATTTTTCTTTTCAAGCTTCAAAAGAAAATGCCCTTGATAAATAAAGCACTCCCTATGGTCTTCCATATGGAAACATATTTCAGCCACGCCATGTCTTTCTCACAGAACTTTTCGAAGAAGTCAATGTTCGCTTTGGTCACTGATTTCTGAGCCGCCTTGCGCGCTGCTTCGAGTTGACAAGTTCTTTGCTTCCAAGCAATCTTTTGAATGAGGCTCTCTTTTGAGTGAGAGCCAGTTGAACCTCTCTTGTTCACCAGGAAGTTCGTTGCTAACCTCCAACGGCGGAGGGCAAACCCGTTTCAAACCACACCACTCGGGGCAGATCGAAGTAAACGCTCTCAAACAGCGCCCATTCGGTTCCCACTTAAGCGGTTATCACAGGCATCAGTTCAAACCATCGTGCGAGGTTGTTTGCAGATTATAAGGTTCTTAATTTCATCCTCTGGTTGCTTCTGCCGTCAGGTCTTCCCATAGCCTCTATCATTTAGAATCGGGGGG